GGAGGAGGACAAGGAGGTCAGTACTACCACGTGACGTCATAGTAACACAGTGCTCGAATTGGGTTGGCAAGATTCTTTGTAGATAAATTCTTTTCAGCCAATTAATAGGACTTTTAATTGTGTCACAAGATTGTACAATCTGACTGCCTGTTCAAGGTCCATCGACGGTATATCTTCTCGATTTACAAACACGTCAGTCGATAACTGTCATTTCACATTTTACAACTTTTAGTATTTGAACTAAATTTCTCTCTCCCTTGCAGGTGAGTTATTTTATATAGTAATTCTCGCTGAATATTATAATTTACTTCTCATGACTTAACGAATCCTAGTACGCGTAAGAATACATATTTTAGTGAAGAGTTTACAGATTGGGGGTCATAAAGATTAGCGCACGAAATGATACCCTCTTGAAAGTTCAAAGAAAAGCTTTAATATTTATATAATTTTACATACACATCTATGAACACGGAAAACAATTTATGGAAATTTATCCTTAATGGATTACATGCTCAATAAGATCATCGTTCTGTAGTGCAACTTTGGAAACAAAAATTGTTACGTTCTTGACCACTCGACAGGAATTATGCCCCGTAATTTCACCACGTATCAAAACAATCAAGGCCTTGAGTTATATTAGTGTGGCTGTTTTTTTGAAATATTTTTCCTTGAGGTAACCCCGAAGGAAGAAGTCTCAATGGCTTATGCCCCGGTAATTGATTGGCTACTTGTGTCCACGTCCATGGAGAGCAGAATATCGGTCGCCACTCAAAAGCCCGGAATAAACCCCTGCGAATTTTTCCTTTGGGGTTACCTTAAGGAAAAACTTTAAAAAATTGCAGCCTCGGTGATGTAACTCAGGGCTCTGTTCAAATGTGTGGTGAATTTACGTAGTCGCTCGTGTTATCGAAGCTGCACGACAGAATTTTCGTCTTACTGAGCAAATAATCCAAAAAGGATACATCTCAATGAATTGTTTTTCGTGTTTACAGATCATTATATGATTATAAAATTTTTCTTTGAACTTTAAATCGAGTGCCATTTTGTAGGATGTCGTATGTAAAATGAAGACGTCTTGGGCACCGTGTACCTGTTCTGAATATGCCTAAATGGGGATAAATGGTATAATTCGAAGGATAGATTTTAAGAGGGACTAGAGCGGTTTCTTTTGGATATTATAATACGAAATAAAGAAGAGTTACTTTAAAATTGACGGTTTCGAACTGTGGTTTATGTGACTTTAGTGATGATAAGTGTTGAAAGTACAAAACTTTGTATCGTCAAAAAAATAAATCTAATTGTCAACGATAAAACTTTCGCACATCGGAATGTTCATACGTGGAATTCTTCTGATGTTAAGACTAATTCAGACCGATGTCTTTATAAAAGACATTTTGATATAGATCACTATTTGGTGGATTCAAAATAGAGATAGAAATCAAATACTTACAAAATTAAAATTGCAGACCCTGAAGGGAAGAGACCAGTTTGAAGACAGACATAGATGGGAGGAAATGTAAAAGTGGTTCTTATGGAAATAGGACGGTACGACGTGATCTGGGCACATCTGTCTGAGGACTGTGACCAACGGCAGCCATTTATAAGCACGTAACTGGCGGTCACGTTGCTTATTAAAAGCAGAGTCAGGATGAAACAACGCAATTCGAGCCTCTGGGGATGATTTTCCGTTCTGAATGTGTCCTCGTTTATTCGCATTCGTGTGTGAACTGTATCTTTACTTATCTCACCCCACAGGCCAAGAAGTCGGAAAAAGCAGACTGGCAGACGAAGAAATAGTCACACAGACACACAGCATCCCTAGAACAAAACACTAAAATTTGTATCTGTCTCTAAAGTTTTTTTTTATTTATCTGGATGTCAAATTGAATTTTGTCCTGACCCAGTCGCATTCTCATTAAATAATTAATACAGCAAGTATTTATACCTCACACTTTTCGAATGTTTCTCTTAAACTAAAGCAGTTCGGAACGTGAAACACACACACAAACAGATTTTTACACTTTTTGAAATATTTCTTCTGAATATTTAATGGCGATATATTTTTTGTTTTTGTTTTATGTTAATTTTGTTCGTTTTTCGTGTCTTATTTTGTGGTGTCTTTGTGGCGTGAATTTTGTGCGATTGGTGGATGACGTCAATGTAGCGTAGCTGTGTTTTGTTTTATCTATCATATATTTCCCCACCAAAGTAGAATATAAATTTGTGCCCTCGTATATTTTAGAGTTACAGCCTGTTTTCTTTCCGACTTGTTCTTTTCACTTTAACATACAAAATAATGTTGAATAAGACAGGAGTCAGTTAAGAGTTACCGCAGTTGCAAGAACCCAGTCCGTCATGGGAGGAGCTTCGGAGAGGTGAGATATTGAACTCAGCAGAACTCCTCACAGACTTGCCTGCTAGGTCATAGACTTCTGAAATAGTCAGTTGTGGCTTAGAGAAGCAGAATAAGAAACGCAAAATGTGATGTTTAAACTTCATTCCATACGTATCGTCATTCAGTTAACTTCCCTACTGTTTGAGAATAAAACAATAACACAAACTGGTTTCTTAATAATTTCACTTATCAGTAATGTAGATTCTCTCAGGATTTAAACTTAATATCGTATTCTGTTTCTACAAAAAAAAACTGCATATTGACTATTTTAGAAATGACGTGTTTTTAACTCTAAAAATTACGATTCTGTATAAGCCTATCAGCTGGTTAATAGTTTACCTGAACAACTGTCATGAGAATTTAAGGTTTTAACAGCGAAGAGGTTTCAGATTCTGTTATTGTGTGTTGAGACGCCGCTTAGTTTCGGAGGAAAATACTGATTCCAGGTTCCTCCAAAATGTCAAAACGACAAGGTCACTCAGCTCCAAAGACCGGAATCTGAAGCTAGCATCAATGATGACGTAGTGAAATATTCTTAGTCTTGTCACAGGCTTAACTAATCCTTGCTGCCAATTGGATATATTAACCGTTGCATGCGGACATAACCCTTCTTTATATTATTTTCTTAATTTCCTCTCTGTTTGTCTTTGTGTGTTTATATCTTTTACAGCTTTCACTTCACAGTGAAGATCGCTTCGTGACTTGGAAACTTGTTACAGAGATTTCAATTCAAATTAACGCATTGAATTTATTTTACGTCTGTCTTATAAAAAAAATTGTAACATCTGTCAACGTGTTTTCCACTTTGGCCTATTAGAAACACAAAATTCTGGCTCTGGTAACAAAATGAAACATAAGTTTATTTCCCGAAAATCAACGAAATTCGGATTGATTCTGTTGTACTTATTTGAGTATTTTTTTTTTATAAAATCTCTTTCAAAATGTGAACTAGGAGTAGAACCCATTGAGTTAAATTCATCCTATTTTATGACCATTTCTAAATTGTAATTTTTTTTTCTCAAAATTCAGGGTATAATTTTTAAGGAACGAATGTATGTAGCCTTATAACTTAAAAACCTCCATACACTTAATGAGACGTATCCCTGTCTTTCGTCACGTAACTTTCCAAGTCACGAGTTCAACTAATTTCTTTGGTCGGTCATTTATACTGTATTCCTATACCACACGACACTCTGCCGACCACCTGTAGCTGTAGGACACTTCGTATGGAGTGCTTCAGTGTTTTAAAGCATTTTATTGTGATTGCTCGTTTCGGTACCTAAAAATTTCATGCATAACGAAGTATCTAAAATGATACAATTTCATGAACAGTATGGTTACTTAGTGTAAATAAAATACCATTTTCTGTATTCAGTGTTTATAATGTTTAATAGGATTTGAAGTTTTTACGGCGGTGAGTTTGAAGATGGCTGTCTTCTGGGTTGTTGCGCCGTGTGGTCTGGTAGAAGTTTACCAACGTTTCGGAGGTCCTTTCTGCCTCCATCATCAGGGCGAGCCCTGATAATGGGGGCAGAAAAGACCTCTGGAACTTCTGTAAACTTCTACCAGACCACACGGCGCAACAACCCAGAAGAAGGTGTCATCGAAAATTTTCTTAGTATGTTCTTTTCTTTATTGCAGAAAAAGCCAGATTGGTCAAAGAAAGGCGAAGAAAAGAAGGTAGGGGATAAAGAAGTAGAGGCATAAGTTGGATATTTCTACTTTCTCTTTTATTCGTATAAATTTTAAAAGCAGACCTCATAGGGAGTTTACCGAACACGTGCACTCAGATATATTGCCTGAAATGAATTAAATTACTACTTGGGAATCAATCACCTACAGATGGAGGAAGAAGAACTTAACTACAGCATCCCGGAAGTAAGATCTACAACGTTCACTGTGATTTTATGTTATTTTTTTGTTCGTTTTAAATCTAGGAATATTCGATTTTGTTGTGTTGGCATGACGCCGTATACACCTTGTAGTTGTCAGCTGTTCTCTCTGCCCTACTGTAAACATCTCGGCTCTCCTTGTCAATATGTTTTCCACCCCTACATATAGGGGGCGCAAATGAACATTTGTTGTGTGTAGCAATGTACAAGGTCATAATTAAAGTTACTCATGTGATGTTACCCTTGAATTTCCCATCGTAAAGCATTCTGCAGCAAACCTTATCGAAATAAACCTAGAATTTCGCATAAACACGTTATGTTGTTGAAACGAATAATTAAAATTCAGTTATTGTGTTATATATTCAGTTCTTAATTAATATGGAAATTAAAATAAACGAAATTTATAACATTTTTTAACCTTCAGTAAAATCTGTGGTTACTTCTGTATGTGATGGTTGTCCACGGTCTATACGACTTTGGTTTACGAGATCATCCAAGTTAATGCAGATACCAGCGGTTACTAAATGTTGAAGCTAGATAAGTTTGACAAATTACGGTTTATTACAAATATTTTTTCTCTCTAAATTCCAAAAAAGTGTACTGTGCGTCATTAAATTGTCCTGTGTATATCAATGAATCCTTCCACCGAGAATGTTACTGTTTTGATAAAATTTATTTATTTTTAGTGTTTCTACAACAAATGTTTCAAAACGTTGTCATTATTTTTGTAAAACTATGTGGGTGGTGGTATTCTGGGCCGTTATGACGTGTAGTCTTGTTGGTGGTCACAAACGTTTTGGAGGAACGTACCGACTCCATTTTTAATTCCGCACTGACGATGGGTTAAACGGCTTTGCAACCCAGAACACCGTCATCCGTATTTCTACATCTGTAAACACATGATGTCGTCGTATAACTAATATCGAGAAGCTTCTTAAGCCGTTTTCACACAGACAGGAGAGTTTACTGTGAATCTTTTCCCGACGCCAAGGGATCGCGGAAATTTCTGCAACTGCCCAAAGGTTTTCTGCAGCGTATGCCAAAAATGTGGCCAACCTGTCCTGTTTCCTGTTCCACTTCTATGTTATTTGTGTCATACTGCATCAATTTATGTACTAACGGTGTTCTTAGGCAATTTCATAATGCTGAATCAACTGCCCAGTTTACTTAGCGTGAAAATACATACGCTAGAATGTCTCTGAAAGCGATAATTCAGGAAGAATGTAAGAAGAAGTGATGGTGTTGAGATCTTCTCACGTAATTCTTTCGAAGATAGTCCTGTCGGTTTCCGCCGCCTTCATATTAGCTGTTTAGTACATTGTTTCTCATCCCTTGATGACATTCGATCATACTAACAAAACAAAGGTACCAAATGCAAATAAGCGTCAAATCTTTAGCCAACTTTACCAAGTGTCTACTACCAGTGGCCTGTATATTGCGTCCATTATGGCGGTTTCAGGTTCACGTAACAAGCAGTTATTCCTAATGCAGACACCACTTGGTGGTTCGCATATCCAGTGCGCAAAGAACATTGTGTTGTGTTTGTGGTACATCCAGTTAGTCGATTATTGTCCTCAGGTTTACGTGCCTGAAATTGTTACTTTATGTGGGATAAACCGAAAATTTCTCTGTGAATATCGTAACTGCATCGTCTATCAACGGTTTTAACAGCATCAACCTTCAACGCAGTTCATATCTGAGACCCGACGTCACGCATTAATTGAGAATATGTTTAGATGTATTTGTTCAAACATTTGAAAGCCGGTCTTTGAGAATTGTAAGAAAGACAATGATATTAAGAAGTTTACAAAACAATAATTTTGCCTGTTGCTTTGTATGGGTGCGAAACATGGTCTCTCACTCAGAGGGAGGAACACAGATTGCAGGTGTTTGAGAATCGGGTGTTGAGAAGATATTTGGGTCTCGGAGAGAAGACGATGGGACATGGAGAAAACTTTATAATGACGAACTTAAAAATCTGTACTCCTCCCCCAATATTGTCAGGGTGATTAAGTTGAGAAGAATTAGATGGGCGAGGGATGTAGCGCGCATGGATGGGACAAGAGGTGTGGAAGCCTGAGGGCAAGAGACCGCTGGGGAGACCTAGACGTAGATGGGAGGATAATATATAATATAAAATAGCCCATACAAGCAATATACTCCTTTGTTATGTAAAGCAGTGAGCTCGTACTGATTCCTTCATTGTTGGTGAAGAGAATGACTGTTAATAAATGTCCAAATCGCATGATCTCCTGTTTCTTGCTCGTCTCTGTTGTATCCAGCACGAATGAGTTCCTCCAGGACACGCAGCGTAGACTCCCAAGTGGATGGAATGTAGATCTGGTACGATATTTCCTGCGGGTGCCAACGGTAAGTAACACAAGTCGCTGAACCACTAATATTGTCAGACTTATTTGTATTTATTTAGCGACGTCAGTAGCTCAAATTATATTCTGTCGGACTGGATGACGATAAGTGACAATGTGAGGCTTTTGCCTTGAACGACTGTGAAGAAAGAGTCAGTGTCTCTGAGCCGAGACTTGGCCCTCAGTTTGGTGATTTTTGTTAAACAAAATGTTTGTCCTAGTAGAGTCAGAGGGAATGAGGAAGGGCTCGAATTTAATGGCATGCGCCAGTTACTTGCCTGTGCTGATTATGTCAATTTGCTGGGTGGTGTAGGTACCAAAACCAAGAATGCAGAAACTCTCCTACAGACTAGCAAAGAATGTAGACAAAGATAAACACGTGGGCATCAACATCAGCAGCAACGGCGGAACATCATTTGAAAATGTTTCAAAATTTAAGTATCTGGGAACAAAAATAACAAATATAAATTAAGAGTAGAATACACTCGGGGAACCCTTGTTTTCATTCAATTCAAAAACTTTTTATCATCTCGTTTACTATCCAAAACACTAAAGATTAGAATATACAAAAATAATTTTGCCTTTTGTTCTGTATGATTACGAAACAAGGTCTCTTACCTTGAAGGAAGAACGTAGATTACAAGTGTTTGAAAACAAGGTGCTCAGGAAGACATTTGGATCTAGGAAGGATGAAATAAGTGGAGAATTTAGAATATCACATAACGAGGAGCTGCGTGAATTGTACGGGTCACCTAGCATTAGTGAGGATGGTGAAATCTAGGAGGCACATGGAGCACGCGTGTGGGGAAGGCAATGGGTGCACATAAAATTTTGTGGGGAACCCTACTTAGGCTGATGTAAATTTATTCTCGTAAGACTGGAGAAAACCATGAAATACGTATACGCGACAGGCAGAATTGGAACTTAGTGTTTGATGCAATTTCGATGAGTTATTCAGAGGTGACAAGGATATTTTTCATATTAATGTTGTTTGGTTCGAAGAATGGAGTTTTATTTAGTCTGAAAATAAGCAGATCCGATATAAGAGAACGGTCATGTAGCCTAAAAGTATCTTATTTACCAACTCAGCATTACTTTATGGTCTTTAATTTTCTATGTACTAATATCGTCGTCTAAATTATATTTAATAATTCAGTCCGTACCGCAAAGAAAATATTTCACCATTACAAAAATCAATTTATTACTGCTGTTTAAGGAAATAATCCCTGTTTACAGTAAAAATTCTATGGATCTCATAAATATATAATCCAGAGTTATTTGTTGTTAAATGAAGTCGTACAGTGGGTACAGTTACCACTGGACTTTAAAGGGTGAATGATCATAATGGTTCAGATATTTCCAGATTTGTGATATTCAAGGGTTAGGACGGAATATATTGCCCGGAACTAATCAAAGCAGTAGCAAGGCGATGCTTTCCGATGTCCACAGACATAAATTCTATTTGGATAGGGATAATTTACATACCAGATGAAGGAATTTTTTGTCATACATACTTACGTACTGAGATAAATACTGAAGAATTTTACTCTTTATTAGTTTCATACATAGTCTCAACAAACTTGGTAATATTTTCTTGAATTCCAGTGTAATATAGATCATTAATTGACAACTTTTTCTGCATTTGTCGGATTCTAGAGACGAAGAATGAGATATCGGTGGTACTTATAGACAAGAAACTACAACTTCGTGGCTGTTATCTGGGTTGTTGCGCTATGTAGCCCGGTAGAAGTGAACGGACGTTTCAGTGGTGCTTGCTGCATATATCATTAGGGTGGCTCGTTCCCATGCTACTTTCATACTCGCCGGTTTTAGAACCTGAAATCTTAAAACATATTACGTTCTCGTAGGTAAACGCGTATCTAAGACTTACTATTATACTCTTAGGAAATTCTAACAGAATCAGGAAAAATTTGAATGTGACGGGACATGACAGGTAGTAACGTAACTAATGATATTTATTACTTATGTAAAAATATTAATAGTCTGTCCCAGAAACGAAGATAGAAAATCTGTTAAAAATTAGTGAGGACGCTCGTTCATAAATTGACATTAAGCATGGTGTATAGTGTTCATATCTCGACCCCATGCTCACAGTAGCATGCAATTATAGCTAATAATGTTCAAGTACATACAATATCTGCTTAGGAACGGGAGTAACAAATCAGAATAAGCTATGTGCGAAATATTAAGACCAGATTGGATTAAAATTCAGATAATACTTGTTGCCATTACGTCCAGAATCTTTTATCTTCAAGTGTTCCGTGTCTCGGACAAAATATTAAAATCTATAGTTGTACCCATCGCGGTATGAGTGGCACATTTTCTGTCACGCAGAATTGTAAGAAACTTAGAGATATATTTTACTCTGAGGAAAATATTCGACCCAACACAGATAAAATAATGAATAACTCAGGAGTTAAATGACAAGAAGATTCATAATTTGTTGTCTTTACCAAATATTGTAGGCCTACTTCTATAAAGCTGTGACATGCTGTCTTAACATGTCAGGTTCAAATCGCCCCGTATTCTGCTGCAAAAAAAACCGAACGGAAAGTTCCTGAAGGCTTGTTGCTTGTGCGACCACAGGAAGAAGATACTCCTACGGAGGAGCCACCCGCTGAAGGAGCGCCACCGGCTGAAGGAGCGCCTCCAGCTGAAGGAGCGCCACCAGCTGAAGGAGTACCACCAGCTGAAGGGGCGCCACCAGCTGAAGTTGCGCCACCTGCAGAAGGAGCACCATCAGCTGAAGGAGCGCCACCAGCCGAAGGAGCGCCACCAACTGAAGGAGCTCCACCAGCTGAAGGAGCTCCACCAGCTGAAGGAGCGCCACCAACTGAAGGA